CGAGGAGTAGAGTGTGATGCCTGAGACTACCGCCCCCCTCCCCCCCCCGTAGGCAGAAGTCCACTCTCGGCCCCTCTATGGATGGCCCTAACCAAGACAGGACTCTGCTGAGGCCCTATATGGTGAGTATCAGGTCAGGGGACTCAGCCCGGCTTTTGTTCTTGGACACAAGCCTTGAAGAGTGTGTGAAGAGCAGGTGGTGTCTCTCCCTCCTACACGCCTCTTCCTCAGGCAGTGTTTCTCTGGGGCCTGGGGCAAGTCAACTGAGGCACACAATGGCCAGCTACAGAGATGGTGTCAGATCTCTGGACAGGAGCAGACAGGAGGGGACCTCTTACCCACCCTCCCACACACATCAGTAACTGGAGAAGAATTTCTGGATTATAAGTCGGGTGAGGCAGGGCGGGGGAGGCCTGAACACAGCTGCGGTAGCCCTTTTGTGACCAGCTTTTGTGGTTCACACATGACCACTTCCCAGGGATGCAGAGGGAGGCTGATCTGGTCTGGAGACTGGTATGCCCACTGAGAGATCAGGACCCCGGTGCTGGCACCAGGCCTGTCTTCACTGCCATTTGATTTCTGGGACCTCTACGCCCCCCCACCCCTGCCCCCAACCTGGGTTCAGTCACCCTGGTTCACCTGGACAGGCCTTGCTAACTTTGGATCTCCCCAAAGGTTTGGGATGGACTTTTCTTTCCTTTCAGAGGGTATAAAGGCTCCAGATGCCAACTGTCCACTTGGTCCCCAGAGTTCTCGGAGGAAAGAGAACTGGCCGAGCCGAGCCCTCAAAAAGCTGCTGTTCCCTGGCCTTAGAGTCTCCATCTAAGGGAGAGCGCTCTGTGCTTCCTCAGAGAATGGAGATCAGGCTTCTCCATCTCTGCCTAATCAGAAAAGTAGCTGGAAGGTTCTCCCACTGAGAACAGACTGAGCTCTGCCTCCCCAGGCACCCTGTGAAATCGAGCCCGAGTGCTCTCGCTGTGGCAGAAGACTCTGCTGGGAAGGAATCCCAGAGGAGAGGCTGTCTCAGCTGGGTTATGAGCTTCAGAAGGACATTTGAGGCAGAGAGAACAGCACGTGCTGAGGCCCAGAGACAAAACCACCTGGTTGCGTTCCAGGAAGCTGTGGTTGGCTGCAGGGGAGAAGGGGTCGGAGGTGTGTGGAGAAGGCAAATCAGGGGGCAGATCTTGTTGGGCTTCTCACAGCAAGGGTGACTCACAGAAGGGCGAAATTTGTTTTTGTTTTAAGATTTTATTTGTTTAATTATTTGAGACATAGAGTGAGAGAGAGCACATAAATAAGGGGAATGGCAGAGGGAGGGGGAGAAGCGGCCTCCCCACCAAGCAGGAGCCTGATGTGAGACTCAATCCCAGGACTCTGGGATCATGACTCGTGCCAAAGGCAGAATCTGAACAGGCTGAGCCACCCCAGCGCCCCAGGGCAAAGCGTTTTGTTTTCTTTCTTTCTTTCTTTCTTTTTTTTTTTTTTTTTTAAGAATTTATTTATTTGTTTGACAGACAGAGATCACAAGAGGCAGGCAGAGAGAGAGGGGGAAGCAGGCTCTCTGCTAAGCAGAGAGCCGAACACGGGGCTCGATCCCAGAACCCTGATATCATCACCTGAGCAGAAGGCGGAGGCTCCCAGGTGCCCGGGCAAAACGTTTTCTGATCGAATTTTACTCCGTCACCGAGGAGTGTGACAGAGAAAGCTCTGGACTGCAGCTGGAAGGAGTGGGTTCCCAACTGCAGCTGGCTACTCCTCTTCCTCCACCTCCTCCTTGCTGTTTTCCAGGTGTCTGTGGATGGTGTAGCCCAGAAAGGCACCAATCTTGCCCATGAGGGCACTGCCACCACTGGCCCCTAGGAAGCAAACATCACCAGGTCACTTGGGGCCCAGGCACCAGACCTGGGAATCCAAATGCCAGGAGACCATTAGTGAAGTCCAACCTCTTCGTTTCCAGTTCAAGAAACAGGGGCCCCGAGCCCAGACAGGACTTCTGCAAAGTGAATCCTAGTTCCCCCTTGACTTGCCATCTCAAATCAGAGATGTGTTTCAGAGATGGAAAATACACAGATAACAGCTAATTCTCTTCACATCTGCAGTGAGCACACTGTGTTATTAATAATGCTAACAACAGCCACCTCAGTGGAGACCTCCCTGTGGGGACTGGGGGTTCACTAGTAAGGGATTTCATCCTCCTCGCAAGCCTGTGGCATGTACAAGCATCTTACAGCAGCACAGGGCTGTTCCTAGCTTTGCCCACACCCTTCACCTCCCACAGCTGGAGTGTGGCCTGATCTGTGTCTTCTCTTCTGCCCCCTCCGAGAAGGACTCCATTCTCTTTTGGGCTGGTTCTTTGAGCTTTTGTCATCCAGAATTGAGAGCAGATGGAAGATTTGGGAAGGCAGAGGGGAGTCTGCCAGGGGCAACTTTTCTCTAGGATTTTGGAGGCCTCAGAGAGTGAGTGAGGGAAAGAAAAAGAAAGAGCGAGTAGCGAATGCATTTTTTTTTTAATTAAAAAATTAAAAAAAATTTTTTTCAGCATAATCTCTGCGCTCAACATGGGGCTTGAACTCACAACCGAGAGATCAAAAGTCACATGCTCTACCAACTGAACCATCCAGGCACCCCTCTCCACCACCTTTCTTTGCCAATCTGGTTCCCTGATTGAGCAGATTCATAAAATGTTATATTGAGGATGGTCATCCCTGTTAACAGATGAGGAAACTGAGGCTTTTTGTGACTTGGCCAAAGCATCAGTGAGGCACCTGGCCTTCGTGGTTAAAAGCGAGGCATAAGACGAGGTTCGAATCCTGGCTCTGGTGCTAATTCACTGGGAGAACTCAAGTAAATTACTCAGTCCCTCGGTGCCTCAGTTTCCCCACTGCAGGATGGAGATTGTAAGAACACCCGACTCCTAGAATTACCGGGCTCTGGCATCCCCGCAGGAGGGCCCCGCGCCCCACTCACCGAGGCTCTGCAGCGTGGCCACCAGCCCCCCGGCGGGCACACCGCCCCCGTTCGCCACCGCGGACCAGCTCATCAGGGAGGCGGCCACGGAGTTGGCGGCAATGCCAGTGCTCAGGAAGCCCAGCGCGGGCAGCCCTGCCGCCAGGAGGCCTGGAGGAAGAAGAGGGGATGAGAGAGCGCCCGCGGCAGGGGTGCGCCCCACCTTCCCGGGCTTTGCGCCCTCCGGACCCACCTCCTCCGACAGCCATGCAGGTCAGCGCGCCCCATAACCCGGAGCCTCCGCCTTCCGAATCGTCTTTTTTCCGTTGTCGTTTGCCTATCGGGAGGGGACAAGGTGGAATGGGGAGCAGGGTTCCCTACTCTGTGCCGGATGCTCAAAACCACCCCCATCCTTCCATTTCGGGGAGCCTCCCTGAAGGGAAGAGACCTCCGCCGAGGCGCCGTGCCTGGCGCAGAACTGGCACCGAGAGTACCTTTCGGTGGAACGGAGGAATTGACAGGTGGGGATTCGAATCTGGGACCCTGGCTACAGCGACCCGGAGCTGGCCATCGTAATGGCCCTTCTCGTCTGGGAACCAGGGATCCTGAGACTCTCTGCCGGGGCTCTGAAACTGTGGGCTTCTTTATCCCACAGCCCTCCCAGGTGCGGGGATCCTTACCTGCCTCCACCCCGCCGCAGGCGCAGAGCAGCAGGTAGCACAGGAAGAGCGATACCGCCTCTTGGCGCATGGTGGCGCCACGCGTAGGCTTTGTCACCGGCCTTGAGGAGGGGGAGAGGGACCAGATGGTTTCCAGAGCCCTTTTGGACCTGCTCGGTGGTTTCCCCTTCCTATTGGGGCGAATCCATAAAAAGCAGCGATTTGCTCTGGATTGAGCCCAGGACCCTCCTAAGGAGCCGCGAGCTTTTAATCTCGTGGCAACAACACAGCAAACTGTACAGCCTAGACACACACTCAAGACTGTCAGAATTCAAACATTATAGCACAGAATAGGAAAATACATATGCCCCCCACCCACTCACCTCTAATGTGATCTTTGTCAGCTCAGTGAATTTTCCTTCAATTAAAAACAAATAAACTCTCATATATTGAGGACTTAGCACTTTATGGCACAAGGTCATTTATACCCATAACAACCCCATGGGGCAGATACCATTGTTCTCAATCATGTGTTATAGATAAGGAAGCTGAAACTGGGAGAGGTTAAGTAATATTCCTAAGACTGCCCAGCTAGGAAGTGGCAGTTGGATTTAAACCCACAGTTGACTGATGCCCAAACCCATACTTTTAACAAACACTCCAGGTAACTTCATCTATCCTCAAAGATGAACTCACTGTCACCTTAGATCCTACATTAAAAGGGGTTTCAGAAATCGTCCAGTCCTTTGGGCAGGTAAGGTAGCTTGGTCTCCATTTTACAGATGACCAACTAAAGCCAAAGAAGTGAAGTGCCAGTGTTAATTAAGGCCACAGATTGATGAGTTGGTACCTATGACCTAAGTCTCGTGCCTCTTAGGGTTTTGTACCCCAAGCCCCTAAAAGCCCCCAAAAGCCCCCAACCCATCTCCTGGGACCAGTTCTAGCCCATGGCACTACAAGGGACCCAAGGGCATAGCCTCCCTGAGGAATGGGTGTCCTGGCTCTTGGGGCATGAGGCTCACAGGCAGGGAGCCTGGCAGAGTTTGGCAGCTAGATATTCACACTTCCTAGCTTCTGGGTTTACCTTGGAGGGAGAAGAAGGTGAATCTTCCTTTCTTTCCCGGAGCCCTACGTTAGATGGGAACAGCAGTGAGGCAACAGCTCTCCAGCAGAAGGCTGGCTTTTTATAATCACATTTGGACTGCCTCCTCCCCCAGGCAACCAACCAATCCCAGTCCGAGTTTCCATTTCCTGGCCTCATCCTCGGTTTTCTTTTTCCTTTTCCTCCAGCTCTGTTTGCTCAGTGACGGCATCTTTGCAATATCCACGGGCAGAAACATGTAATTGAAGCCAGGGACTTTCTGAATAGCTAAGAGTATTCAAAGCAGATCGTGCTACAGTGGGATCCATGACCCCGTTGGGCCTCATGAAGCCCAACCACTAGTCCCTCTTGGGATGCAGAAGCCTTTCACAATTCAGTTCATAATAATGCCTACCCATTTATCGAGCACTTTCTGCATAGCAGGGCCTATGCAAAATACCCTGTGCACATGATCTCTTTCTGTCCCACAACAGTCCTGCAAAATATCATCTATTGTTCATAATCTTCACTCTGCAGAGCAGATTTAAGCTTGTGGAAATGAAGTCATTCAATTGCATGTTTTCTCAGGCTGGCTGCTTCCGGGTGATGGGTGTATGGTAAGACTGGCATAGGCCATGTGCATGAGGCCATTGGCACACATCCTTTGTCATAAAATGGGTCCTCTGGTTCTGGTAATAGATTGAGAATTCTTTAAACCTTTGTATAGTAATGCTTGCAGAAGCACAATGGGTAAGAAATGCAATCCATGTTTGGAGTACACAGGAGTTCTAACAAGGATGAATCATTGCCTTCTCCAAAGTGGAAGAGGGCTGGCTGGTGTAACTGACCTGCTACCAGGTGGCTGGGCATTCTCCCCGACCTATGTTGTTAACTGCAGCCTACTGTTCCCTGCTGGGTTATTTCTTGGCAATTGCTGGATTAACTTTGGTGAGAGGGAGCCCAAGTTTTGGGATCCATTCATAGCCTCCGTCTTTGCCACCATGGCCATTTTATTTTTTTTTATTTTATTTTTTTTTTTAAGATTTTATTTATTTATTTGACAGACAGAGATCACAAGTAGGCAGAGAGGCAGGCAGAGAGAGAGGAAGGGAAGCAGGCTTCCTGTTGAGCAGAGAGCCCGATGCGGGACTCGATCCCAGGACCCTGAGATCATGACCTGAGCCGAAGGCAGCGGCTTAACCCACTGAGCCACCCAGGCGCCCTCACCATGGCCATTTTAAAATGGATCTTTTGCAAAGTAATAGAGTTGCTAAGTTCAGAACCTAGTTGACATCCACAATATGGGACATATGACCATCTGGCTGGACAGCCTCCAGCCACATTGTCTCTGCAGGATCATGTAATCCATTGGATTTAGGCTAAACTCTATCTATCACCTGGCCTCCGTTAGTCCCCACTCTAACGAGAAAGTGATGTTGGTATTTTGTGTCTCTTAGTTTCTGTGTCAGGTCAGACTCCATGTCTTTAATAATCTTTTGAAAATTGTGAATATTCTTCTCTTTCCAATGCACAGTTACCCCAGCAAACGACAACAGATCCCTTTGGGAAAGGATAGGAGGAATATTTACTACATGTAACTATATGGTATCACTCACTGCAGAATTGTTCCTTAATGGGGCATGACCTCTACTGCAGTCAAGGTGTTCCGTTCTGTGAACTTAGATCTCAGATCTGGATGAGGGACTGATTTTCCATTGTGGCAGCTAATGTCAGTCTTCCACTTATCAACTCTTGATTTTTTAAAAAGATTTTATTATTTATTTGACACAGAGAGAGAGAGCACAAGCAGGTGGAGTTTCAGGCAGAGGGAGAAGCAGGCTCCCCACTGAGCCGAGAGCCCCATGCAGGACTTGATACCAGGACCCTGGGATCACGACCTGAGCCAAAGGCAGACGCTTAACCAACTGAGCCACCCAGGTGTCTTTTGATTTTTTTTTAATGATATAACAGTTGAGAGGGGGCACCTGGCAAGGAGCATGTGACTATTAGTCTTGGGGTTATAAATTCAAACTCCACGATGGGTATAGAGATTACTTACAAATAAAATCTTTTAAGCTTTTTTCTAAAAAATATTTTATTTGAAAGAGAGAGTACACTCATGAGAGTGGGGGGAGGGAGGGGCAGAAGGAGAGAATCTCAAGCCGACTCCATGCTGAGCATAGAGCCCAATGGGGGGCTTGATCTCATGACCCTGAGATCATGACCTGAGCTGAATCCAAGAGTTGCTTAGACAACTGAGCCAGCCAGGCGCCCCAAAATAAAGTCTTTTAAATCAATCAATCAATCAATCAAAATTGAGAATTACCCAGTCAGCTGTCCCTCCATCCCATCTCCATAGTCAACTTGCCATAGATCCCTGCAGAGCAAGGCCCACTCATTGTCACTTTGGCCTTGCTGCCCATGAGAGTAATCAAAGTCACCTGGCCTTGGATGCCACCTCTGCCATTCTGGAATCCCAACATTACTGTTCATATTGGGAATGCCAGTTCCATGGCCACATCTTTTACTCTTCATCTCAGCCTACCAAAGACAGACACCACTAAGCTACTCAGAGATGCTGAGGTCCATTTCTCAGTGAATCCCTCATTGCTTCGGTAAAGAGAGTATCCTCTGGGCCCTCTTAGAGAACATAGGTGCTGAGTTCTTGGATCTTACATTTCCACCTCCTCGAACTTTCTGACCCCTTCTTAAATACTCTACCATGGAAATTCTAGAATCTTGACCTGATTTATTGTAGGCCACCATCCTGCTTTAAAGAACCATCCTTGCAAAGTATTAAGACCGTATTTCAATTATTTATTGCTGAGTAACAACCCCCCCCAAAAAACTTAAAGGTTTCAAACAACAATTATTTAATCAAACAAATAATCAAACAATTTATTATTTCTCACAATTCTGCAATCTGGGCTAGGCTTAGTTGGGTGTCCATATGCTTCATGTGGTATTTACAGGTGTTTTTAGGAGAAGAAATGTCCAAGATGTCCTTTTCACGTACATAAATGGCACTTCAGCTGGGATGGATGGAACCCCTGTGGACTGGTCAGTCATCCTTCTTTTTAAAAAAAAAAAAGATTTTATTTATTTATTTGACAGACAGAGATCACAAGTAGGCAGAGAAGCAGGCAGAGAGAGAGGAGGAAGCACGCTCCCTGCTGAGCAGAGAGCCAGATTCGGGGCTTGATCCCAGGACCCTGAGATCATGGCCTGAGCCGAAGGCAGAGGTTAACCCACTGAGCCACCCAGGTGCCGCCAGTCATCTCTTTTTGAGAAAGATTTATGTATTTGAGAGAGAGAGAGAGAGAGAAGGTGCAGAGGGAGCAGGGGCAGAGGGAGAAGGAGAGAGAATCCCAAATAGACTCCATGCTGAGCGTGGAGCCCAGTGTGAGGCTTGATCTCATAACCCTGAGATCATGACCTGAGCTGAAACCAAGAGTTGGATGTGGATGATTAACTGACTGTGCCACACAGTTTCCCCAGTCATCTTGTAATATGGTGTCTCAACATGGCTAAATTGTACTTCCTCACAGTAAGAGGGTCTCAGTGCGGGTCTTACATGGTGGCTGGCTTCCAAGAGGGAAGAAATGGAAGCTGCCAGTCTTCATGAAGTTTAGGTCTGGACCTGGAACGGTGTCCTTCTACCATATTCTGTTAGTTAAGGCAAATCACAGGACCAGTCCAGATTCAAGGAGAAGAGGAAAACAGACTCCGTCTCTTGCTGTGAAGAGTGGCACATATATAGAGGAAGGGAAGGAATTGATGGTGACCATCTTTGGAAACTATCTACCAGCAACAAGGTCTAGCTATCCTTTTTTCCCTTTTTTTGGTTGTTGTTGTTGTTTAAAGATTCTATTTATTTATTTGAGAGAGAGAGAGAGAGAAGGAGAGAGAGCACAAATGGGGTGAGGGGCAGAGGGAGAAGCAGACCCCTCGCTGGGCAGGGAGCCCCATGTAGGGTTCAATTCCGGGACCCCAGGATCATGACCTGAGCTGAAGGCAGATGCTTAACCAACTGAGCCACCCAGGCACCCCTGAGATC